GTATAGAGCCAAAGATGTTAGAACTGTGTCGATGTCCCAATATTTCTGGACCTGACTGTACTTTGGTTCTCTCTAAGGCTGGAAATGGAGCACCAACCTCAGAGGAGAAGATCTAACACCAGATGGTTTTCTCCCCCAAGGCTGGTGCTTTTCATGGGAATTCCTGACTTGGAAAACCTCTCAAGGAAAAGTGTTGCAAGATGGGCAGAAGGAACTGAGGTTCTCCATCATGTCTTTGACCTAATGGGAACTTCTGATCATCCACTGGGCAGGTTGTAATAATTTTCTTTATGTTGCTTGCAACAGCAGAAGTCCCAGAAGAGGGTGGACAAATAAACATTGCTTCATTTCCACATCCAGAGTGCTGAGTATTCCAGAGTTGTACCAAACTGGAACACTCCAACTTTAGTTCAAAACTGTTCTCATGTGCTAATAATACTAATTGTTGCACTAATACTTCCTATGGAGACAAACTGAATCATCTTTGCAGAGGAAGGGTGAGTTTGGATTGCTATGGGAAGGTCTGGAGACCTCAATTCTTAGGTAACATTGCATGCACAAGAATGCCACATCAAAGCCTTTTAAGCGAAGCCTCACTTTCTAACACTCACTGTTTTCCAGGCAGCAAGCTGCTGTGGATGAAACGCAGTCTCTCAAAAACTGCCAGGTCTGCATGCTGATTTTCAGTGAGGGGACTGATCAGTGGGTCAGCCATTAGGTAGTCATAGATAAGCCGCAATTTGCATTCCTGGGGGGAAGAGAACAAAGAAAACCTCTTAGTGAGGAGAATGAAATGATGCTCAAGAAGAGTCTCTTGAAACTGAAACAAGGTGTGGGTGTGGGTGTGCTCCCAGGGCTTGCAATGATATAAGATTAATTATCTATTCTCACCTTGCATGAACACTCAGGATTACATTAACTCTACATCAAAGATTTATTCAGAGCCATCAGAATAAATTAAATTAAACTGGGATTCAAGCTTAATTGGGATAGTATCCCAGGACATGTTGATTCCCTTCTCCAAATCTGGGGGAGTATCTGAATCGGAGATTTTGTTGTTCCCTTTTACATACAGCTAGTTGTTTTTGATCCAGCTCCCAACAAAGAGTCTGGGATGTGAGCCAAGTGGGCAGAATTGAAGACCAGCCCACTCTGTAATGCCTCCAAACACAAGGTAAACTTAGGTCACTTCAGAGCAGGTAGAAATTTATTTTATCCTACTGCAAGCAAATCATGCTTGAGAGGACTTTTTCTCAAAAGAAAACAGAAGTGGCAAACACTGTGCTTTCCTACTTCTGCTCTGTTGACAACAGGGTGTTTGAATCTATCAGAATGTCCCAACTACATTTAGAATTGCTCTGCCAGGGATTTGCATCTTGGATGCTGTTTGCTGTTGCTGTTTACTGCTGTGATACCACCTGGCATTCACCAGATTGGCAGCTGTTTCTAAGGAAATATACATCTGTCCTGAGAAGGATTTGCCCAAGGAGAGATGCTTATTTCAGCAGGTAGCCAAAGAAGAAATTCTTTTCAACCCCTCCCTCTCCAGGTAGAAATGCTTTTGTCAACTTGGAAAAAAACAGAGTATGGGAGTTCTCTCTCACAGACGTGGTGGCAATTAGGAGAGGGAATGCTGAGGTGGGGGTGCTCTTAGAAGATAAATGGGGGCAGTGCATGGCACATCAAAGCAGGAAATGAAGCTAGGGGGGGTTAACAAAGAGGACTTCTGAGAGAGAATGATGGAGCCCTCCAAATTTTCATCCTATGTGCCCTGCTGCTTTAGGCACAAACATTTTTTGAGATGTATACAAATGCTGTAAATGCACTGAATGAGGTATATAGAAATGCTATATGCAACACCAACACCACTATGAGATGATAGCCATTAGCCCAGTACTCTTAAATGTGGTTCTACTGCCATGTTTGCTGGGGCTATTGAGAATTCAAGTTCAATTACATCTGGAAGACTAGAGGTTGTCCGCTCTTGTTTTAAGATTAAGAGATTGTTTTTCCTAATATCTATTACTTGACAGAAGAGATGCTGTTCACCTTCCTGCCTCTTCCATTCATGGTGGTCTTCTCGTTCTGGAATGCTGTTTTTGACAGGATAATAAAATTCACAAACCTGCTTTTCCAGCTCAGCTTCTGCCCAACGTCTTTTCTTCATTTCCACCTCTACTTGATTGCGGGCATGTTTCAACTTCACCTCCAGCACGGAACGCTCAGATTCTGACTGGCGTAACTGCTGCCTTGCCCTCTGCAAATCCCGATCTAGCCGGCAGCATCGCTGCCGCATCCCCTCAAGACACCGGGCAATCTGAAGATATTCTGAACAGATGCATGGTTTCAGTATTGGGATTTGATGGCAAGGACTCAGAAAAAACAATCTGGGATTACCTATGTGTAAATAACCTTTGCAAGCACATATGTATCTTGTAAGTACCCAAGAATAATATGAGTTAAGATGGAAAATATCAAAATGAGCAAACAGAATGGACTGTGTGTGTCAAGAAAGGGGTACAGCAGATGCAATCTTCTCCCCCACCCTTACATAATCAAAGAATTTATGGCCTCTTCGCCAACCTGCCACCAGGAAGCACTGATGCTATATCCAGAACAACACAGAATGCTTGAATTAACCCAACTTCTCATCACTTTCTGTCAAGCCCACTAACAAGGTTTTAAGGATAATATGATCAAAGTTCTATTAGAAAAGCCTCCTCTTAGCCTGCTGATTAACGGGCCAACTGAATTGCCCCAGTTCTGACAGTTGCCATGGTAAGGACAGAAATATTTAATGAGACTGTTCAAGAGGTTGTGTGTGTTTTTGCATCAATGCTTAATTGTCCTATAGAATCCATACCAAGGTGTAAAGGACCCTAATTAAGAATGGTCCACTCCAATACAGCTATTCTCTTGAAATCTCAGTGCCTCCAGAGGGAGTGTGGCTGGATTCTCTCTTCTTTCCCATGTACCTCAATGTTTCTTGCTCTCTTCATAGCATTTTACAATAGCTAGAATACAATGCTGTTCAGGTGTTTGGATTTATAGCTTTTTCAATCCATTACCTTTTGCCTCAGTGCCTGGCTTTAGTGAGCGCTGCAACAGAGAACCTCTGGAGAGCTTCAGATCATTTATCCTTGCTCTAGAACCATGACCTTACATGATGGAAGTTGAATTAAACAGAAGATGGTCCTCAGGACCTATTCTGACCCACTTTATATATATATATATATATATATATTCCTTGAGAGCCAGATACTATTTTAAACATGTCTTGAAAAAAGCAGAACCACTAAATGAGATCAACTCAAGCAAATATGAATAGCAAAAATTATATACAGTGTAGATCTGGTAACCAATCAGATGGGATAAATCCAATGGCATCTTAGGTGAATGGCTACTAGACAGAGATGGAAAGCACCTGAATACTAACCGATGAGGAAGAACAGTGGAAAAACTTTACTTGCTCTCAAATTCCACTTGTGAGCTTCCCTTAGGAATTAACTTGGCCATGGATCCAATAAAAATAAAGGATGCTGAACTAGATTGGATTAGAACCAGAACTCTTAATATTTTTAGACCCCAACTGTATGATTGTAGTGATGGAGAAAACACATATAGAAGCCCAGAGTTAACGTAAGATCCAGGTTGGAGTTTTTTTTCCAGGTGACTTGACAAGATGCTCACAGTAGGCACCCCTTATTACTGGCACCACTGCCAACTTGCTCACCCTCATCTGTCTTTGGATCTAATTTACACAGTCACTCAGAGGAAGAAGATAGTTGGAGGTGCTTCTCTTCTTCCTCCAACTGCTTAACTACTTGGAGGGAACAAGTCAACAGGTAAGTTCAAGGGGTTATAGTAGAGCCGTAGGCTGGGTTTAGATACCTGACCAAGCTGGTGCTTTAGATGGACCTAAAGGAAGCTGGAGAACCGATAACAGGCTCTGCAGGTAGCATTTCTTGCCCTCAGAGCATCTTCAAATGTTGCCACTCAATTGTACTTAATAATGATACAAAGGAAAAACATCTAAAACATCTGGGGAGTAATCATCTTAATTTACAAGTTTAAATAAAATCAAAGTTAATCTTTTCCCTGGCCCCACCTGCTTCTTGTAGATACAGCTGAGACCACGCTAGTCCAAAGCTGTATGTTCCTATAGTACAACATCAACAAAACTAACCTGAAGTTTGTTTCTGTTTGAAAGACAGCCCCAGAACATCAGTTTCTAATTCAGGCTCAAAAGTTAACAGTGCTATAGAAACAGCACACATACACTTTCCAATAAAAAACAGCCAGTTCAGATCAATGGAGGGGAATTTTATCAGTATAACGCAAGTCAATATGTACTCCCTGTAACGTGAGTCCAAGGAATGAAGACTTACTCAAAACGGCAATAACCTAAATATAAGCATCTAAATGTATTATTTATTTATCTTGTTACAGGTATCCCTATCCTTTCCAGGTCAAAGGTCAAATTGTGAGCACCTACTGTATACAAAAAGGGGGAACGGCCAAATAGTTCTCATGGAGTGTGCTTAGCCAATCACAAAACACACATTTATCAGATAGCAAACTTGTGAAGTTGCTTCTCACTATCTTCCCCAGCCCTCTGACTCACCTTTGTCATCCATCACTCTTATTTTCCAAGAATGTATGTGGCCTATATGAGGCCCAAAGCATCCCTGTAATAAAGGTTAGAGACTGGCTCTCTCTGCTTCAGCATACCCACTCCTCCATGCCCGCCCCCATTTTGAACAAGAAAGTTGGAAGAATAAAGAAATTAAAGCACTGTGGGGTGAAGAGCCTGAATATACCATAGGAGGTATCTGTGGATACACTGGTGCTTAAAGATACAGTGTGGGCAATCTCAGTGTTATTTCAATCCAAATGATACAAACTTGAGTGAGTAGAAAGCTGGAATGCATAATTCAGTAAATAAAATAAGGGACATGCAAATACTGATCTGTCATCCCAATCTTCCATGGACTGGGCAAAGCTCTGAAAAGTGGGAGGAGAATTGTTTAGGACAAAGCTCATCCTTCATGTCTTCCCTTTGGTTCAGTCTACCCAAGAGACTAAACCCACAATTCCCAGTCAGCATACAAGTTTCACTCCCAGCGCATCTGGAATGTCTAAGGTTGAGGAAGACTGCTTTCATATACAGTATTGTACAAAGGAGTGCTTGCAAACCACAAAACAGAAATCTTATAGAACAGGACTGATCTGCCCAGAATTGTAACTTGCATTATGAAGGCAGGGACACAAAAAGAGGCTGAGAATAACTTTAGGGCTTGGAGCCCCATATAGAGCTTAAATTAGATTGGTCATTAAAGCTAACCGATTCAGGGGTGCGGTAGGAAGGAAGAAGTGGAGTTGCTACTGACATAACCACTAGGATACAAAGATGAAAAGAAGGTGAGCTGGAGCCAACCCACCTACTTCAGCGCTGCGGTTGAAATCAGCAAGCTCCAGGAGTTGGTCCAAATGATACATAAGCAGTGGGCCAAAGCGATTCATTCTGCTAAAGACAATGATTGAGAAGGAAGTTAAAAAGACAGATCAGGACCACTCTAAGAGGTGTTTTTACCTTAAGCACAGCATAAGGCAAAGACTACTACGAAGCAATAGGAAAGACCGTCCTCAGCTTCTTCCCATCAGTAGTCAAGCTCAGCCTCATCATTTCTTGAAAAGTGCCAAACAGAAGCCTCACATGCTGGAACAGAGTTTGCCTTTTTCCTCCTCCGCCTTCCCGATAAATTGGACTACAACACCCAGAATACCCAACCATCCGGTAGTCATGCTGTCTAAAATTCAGGGAACTGATGTCCAAACCACGGGGGCTCGTTCTCGCTCGCTCTCTCTCTCTGAATTTGTGTTTTCATCTAGAGATAACATCCTTGCCCCACTGGGAACGATCCAAGGGAAAGGAAAAATGAACGGGCGGGAAGGAAGAACAGAGGAAATGCGAACTCCCATTCCACACTTACAATACCCTCAACGGAGCCAAGCGAATTGGAAGCAAACACACCCCGCAGCCAAACCTCCAAATGTTAATTAATCCCGGGCGCAAGTATCGGCTTCCCCCACAGTCCCGCCTGTTCGGAACGCCTCGTGTTATAGAAAGAATCCCCACGACCCCGCGGCTCTCGTTTAAAAAGAGCGGTCCCCGCCCACCTCTCCGGCTCCGAGAAATAAAGGTGGTGAATCAAGGCAGCCGCCTTACGAGGGCAGGGGGATTCGACAAACTCTTCTGGCTTCCTTTAAACCACCCCCCTCCTTCCCGCTTACAAGATGAGGCCAAACTTGGTACTTGTTTGCGCCTCAGATGTCCAGCATTCTCAACTCGAAGCAAGCCGTGTCGAGCATCAATGCAGCCAAGTATTTATTTATCACGTTGCATGAAAATGGTTAAATATTTTGTATTTTGCCTGAAGGCTCTGTGTTTTAAAAATAGTCTCCACGTTAGAGCAATTGGATTAGAAAGCGTTTGTCTTAATTTAAGGTGGATACTGTGCTCAGTTGACATGGTGACCTATGATTTTCTGTTCTAGGTTTGCATATACACTAAAAATGAAAAATAGGTACCCAAGTTCTAGCCTAACATATCCAACCTCTAGGGTTAACTTAACTATATTTAACCATTTCCAAAAGCCCAAGATGGGTGCCTTTTGGGGGGCTGTGCAGTTCAGCAAATCAGAACATCTAGTTAAATTGCTGCATACAGAGTTCTGGTTAGGTAATGGCTTTAACCCAGCTGAGGGTATAATTGCAAACAGAAGCAGACTGAGCCACAAACTAGCTGGCCATTGGTTAGCCTAGCATTTGATAGAAATCGCCCAGTTCCTAAGACTGCTCTCATGTGTGGCAGGCAGGCGAATGGCCCTAACAGCTGAAAGGCCTTGTGAAACTAAACTGCCTTTTTTCTGCTTAACTAGGATGGAAGAAGGATGGAAAAATTGGTGGGAAAAGGTCTCCAAGTAGAAAATGTTTTTGAGTAGACCCTCCCCAAATGCAAATGTGGTAAGATAAGGACTCATCCAAGCAGTCACTGCAGGGTCAGTAATGACTGAGCGCAGATAAAAAAAACACACCAAAACTATAGAGTCAAAGCTTTAGCAGAAAGCACTGAGAAAGTGTCTTTTTTTTTTCCTCCTCTAGCATGTTCCTTTAGGAATAGATCAGTTTAGCTGCATTTTTGCCATTTTTAAAAAAAGGCTGGAACCTTAACAGAAGCAATGGGAAAGTTTCATAGTGCCCAGCAAACATTGTTTTTGTAGTGGTAGCTCTCAATGTCAATTTATTTTAGTCAATTATATAACAGTATATTATAAATGTTTGACACAGTATACAGTATTATTAATACATGTGTGTAGTTACGAAGTTACAGTTTTGTCTCTCTTTCCTTTAAAAATATATAGAAGCAGTTTAACATTAAGTAAAAAAAATCAGTTAAAATTTGCATGCATAAAATGACACTACAAAAGTTAGGTTATCTAATGAATGTGTAAAGTTATGTCATATCTGTGTGGGCAAAATATAGATGGATATAAATAAGAACAACTCCAGGTTCAAATAATATGGAGAGAGATCACTGGGACTAGGAGATCCCTGTCTGAAAGCATTCTCTGCAATCTGAATAAAAAGCTAGCTAGAATGAAAGGACAGTAGGACAGTATTTGGATGATGGTTGCAAGAAGATGCCACGTGAAAAGTGAACAAAACACAGTGATTTGACGCTAGCCCCCTGAAATAGGAAAGGCATATTTCCCATGAGTTATTTCCTAACTTTGCCTATTCAGTTTCTTTCAACCCTTTATCAAAAAAAACTATGCAAAGAACATTACCAGAAAGACAAGTTTCTTTATTTTAAGCATTTTAATCCTGCTTTTCTGTTTAAAAAGCGCTCGGAACATCTACCTATAGTGTACCAATGAGGTAAACTACATACTTGCAGTATGGTAGGCTGGGTAATTTTCCAGCCAAGGGCTATCAAATTTAGCGTAAACCTTTTGGAAAGGATCCCTGGCCTGGTGCTTAAGGGCTGAGTAGCAGGACAAAGGTCCTTCTCCATAGAGTAGTTGGAATCAGGTCACAACTAAACTTAATCTAATTTAAACCCAACCCAAATAGAAGTTAAGCACTTATAGTTAATATTATTACTCTTCATATATTTAATACATTTCTATCTGCCCATTACATACAATATTGCATTTTGCTGGCAATGTTGGGCAGTGAAATGAGCCCTGGGACCACAGGTAGGGCAGCCCTGCTTGGTGGCCTCCTGAGACCTGTGGAATATCCCGTTAAGCCAGAGCAAAAGATTTAGCAGATAAATGTCCTGCTTGCTTCCCCAGCTTTCTGTTTGGTGGTGCTCCACTGCCTTGAACAAACTATTCCATGCTTTCAAATCCTGCACTTTTGAAACAGGATCCCCATCTCACCACAGAGCACACCTGCCAAGTTAGAGGCTGGTAGAGAATTCAGGCTTCCCAAATCTGCCAGAGACAGCTGCAAAATACTGAAGGAGGCTAAGGGAATCATACTCATGGCATTCTGGAGTAAGTCTCTTTTTTCCCCCCGCATAACCACTCTAGAGTAGTGTTTTTCAAACTTGGCAACTTTAAGGTGGCTGGCTGGGGAATTCTGGGAGTTGAAGTCTACACATTTTAAAGTTGCCAAATTTGAAAAACACTGCTCTAAAGTTTGCTGTTTTAAGTCATATACATACAAAAATCAAGCCTTGCCTACTTCATTTAATACCGTAATTGCTGACTGAAGAGAAACTTTATGGCTGTGATATTTAAGACTGAGGGTTGGGAAGCTTTGCTGGTTTATGAGAGGACTGCCAGTATATCCTGCCTTCTGCTCATCCTCATTTTCAGCTGTAGTGCCATCCCTGTAGGAGCAGCCGTGGGTAGACATAAATTAGGGCTGGGTGGTAAACTGAAGGGATAAAAATATGTTTTTTTCTACCATTAATGACCAGCCATGCTATTTAAAGCATAATTCATGAGTAGAGAACCTGGGAGTTATTTAGATGTTGAATACCACCATTCCCAAAATAGATAATCTCTGCATCCTATGTGGATCTCAATTTATGATATGTATCTCTTAGATGGTGGGATGCAAGCAATATATTTTGATGTGAAAAGTAGTCACTAAGCATAGAATAATATGAGCATGCTTTGGGCTTCAGTGCTGCTTATGGGATATTGTGCCAGTGGGGCTGCCCTTATTGTCAGCAAGGGTTCTGCAAGTGGCACAGATGTGACTAAGTTGGTAAGCCAGTCCATACTTTCTTTATCTTACTAAAACTCAATATGTAAAAGCCTTGATTCACCAGAGCCAAAAAGAGTGGTGGAGGTCAATATCTATGGGTCCATATGATGATGACTGTGGCATATGGAAGACTGCAATTTGGAATGTAAGAACAGTATGGATGAAGAGCAGGAATTAATGAAATGGAAGAAAGAAAAAAAAGATGTGATGTATCTGTAAAGTAAGGATATAATAGATGTGAATGAAATGGTGTGATCCTGTGGAGTGGGGTTGATGAATACATGTGGGGAATGAAGGAGTAGGTTTAACTATGAATGAAAGGGCTAAAATTTTCAGTTGGTATCATCTAGATTGTTGTAAGGTGTGTACAAAAGTAGGAATCCTTAGATTGATGGTAGCTGTATGTTATGGCTTAGTGAAAGGTGATAAAGATTGGAACCAACAGATTTTGAGAAAAATTGTGCAACTTTCTGAATGAATGTGGTCCAGAGAGGGAAAAATGATTCAATTAGGTGACATAAATGGATGGGTGGGAACAAAGCAGAAGAGTACAGAGAAAGTGATTTGGCCATTTAGACTCAAGAATGACTGAAAATGATTATTGCTTGGTGAATATCTGTTTAGAAAAAAGCGGTTTCAAATGCATTGTTTGAGCATATCTATTTCAATGTACACATGGCAAAGGAATTAATATAAATCTAAAAGTATGAATGGTTTACAATGATAAACAATTGAATGAAAGATAAAAAGTGGTAAGAAGCTCAGAATATACAATAGACCTTTGGTAGTGTTGCAAGTAGATCTTTGGAAAAATGGACATAGAAGAAAGCAGTGAAAGAAACTATGGTAAAAGAAGAATGACTGCAAAAAGAGAAAATATGAGCTTGATTTGAAAAAGAATTAGATTAATCATCATCTAATAATAATAATAGATTAATGTCCCAACTGAATGAATTAAAAGTAGTCATAAAAGCAAAGAATGTGGAAGCTGCTTGGAACAGCATGAAAAGAATTACACAGAATTACAGAATTGTTGGAGTTAACAATGGACAGAATAAAAAGGATGCTTGGTGGAATGATCAAGTGAAAGAGCCTATGAAAGAGCAAAAATGCATTTAAGAGAATGATTGCTGTAAAAATGAGGATGAGAAAAATATATTGTATAATGTGTGTATAGAGAAAAAGATACAAGCCATGAGTGTAGTCAGAGCAAAGATTGGTTAAGATTAAGAGATAGAGAAAATGATGATGGAAATAAAGTTGTTTTGGAAGAAGGGTAAAAACAAGCAGCTTCCGGTAGAGTGAATAGAATTAAAAGTAATGAAATTATTTTGGATAAAATGGAAATCAGAGACTATTTGAAGGAGTGTTTTAGAAAATTGTATGGTAATTGTAGTGGAGAAAGAAGGTGGATGGCAAGATCATCACAGCAAGGGAGAGGTCTACTTGGCACAGATGGCTTGATGGCAACATTCTGATAGCTGACAGATTGTCAGCCAAGCATAATTAATAGCCTTGTTTAACTTGGAAAGGGAATTAGAAGTTGAAAAATATACTCTCAACTAAGCGCTCTGAGTTAAAAAAAAGTCTTCATTTGCAGGCAAATGGTTATTCTAGGCATGCTTGAACAAACATGCAAATGCATCAACATACAGCTTTTTATTGCATTTCTATGCTACCCTCAAGTGGGGGAGCTGTTTGTTTCTCTGATCTTGCTCCATAATTAGCCTTGCACAGCTGAAAACAAAACTAAGCTTTTCCTCTCTCTGTTGATGTTATGAATAAAGGGAGAAAAAAGAATCACAAAACAGTTTGGACATACTGCAGTTGTGTGATAATTTCCCAAGAACACAAAAGCCTTTTGACAAATAAATAGAATGCTTAATGAATGGTTCAACATAGCAGGAGTAATAAAGGGATTTGTGATATCCCCTTAGTTCTTTAAGATATTTAAGAACAAATGTGTAAACAATGCTTGTGATGATGCTAAGGATATGTTGGTTAGGAAAGTAATTGCATGAATATTTTTGTATGCAGATAATGCTGTCTAGTTGACTGAGAACCTGAATAATTGGTAGTAAATATTAGATTGTATGATGAAACAAGGAGTTTGGATTTAAAAATTAATATTTTGAAGACCAAGATAGTTGTGTTTGACAGGGAAAATGGAGAGGATGATTCCAAGTTACAAATAAATGGCAAACAGCCAGAACTAGTGGATGAATTTATACTTTGGTAGAATGTTTACCAAAGGTAGAAAAATGAATGGAAATGTTAATACATGCAAGTGCTGGTAGAAGGTAGTGGGTAGTATGTGATCTGTTGGGAGGAATGAATGTTTATAAAAAGAAACAAATGGCTCTGTACAAGACTCTGTTCTGCCCACTGTTATTTGGAAGTGAGTGTTGAGTATGTCACAAGAAATACAAAAGTAAGTTGAATGCATTGGAAATGGGTTACTTAAGTGTGTGTGAGAAATAAGGTCAATGTTGAATGAGTGCTGAATAATTGGGAGTGACCTGAATGAAATAAGTATTTTCAGGTGGTTTGGTTACATAAAGAGAATGAATGACAATCAAATTGCAAGATGTGTAGGAACAGAGAATGTGTCAAGAGGAAGAGGAAGACTAACAGAGTTGATGAGATCCCCAAAAAGAGAACGGTGAGAAGTTTAAAGAAGAGGCACTGTATAGGCACAAAGGAAGGAAGGCTGGTTTGCAAAGATAAAAAGGCATGGAGAGGTATAGTGAATTGTCTTGATATGAACAAGTGTTGTTTTTCTTTTTTAATCTCATATCTTTAATTTATTTGGCTTACTATTTCTTATTCCTTGTTTTTCTTCCTGTTTCTTACCCTGGAAGAAGTAGCGTATTGGATTTGTATGATGTACCTATATAGATGTGCCATCCTTGGCCATGTTGGTTAAAGCTGCTGGGAGTTACAGCTTTCAGCAATATCTGGAGGCCACAGGCTGACCACCTCTGGTGTAGGAGTTGACATCTTGAAGTCGTTTGAGGCCAGTTTTTCTGTAACTTTAATTACATTGACAATAGAAGGGCACTGTCTAGAGCAGTGTGGTCCAAACTTGGCCACTTTAAGATGAGTGGACTTCAACCCCCAGAATTCCCCAGCCAGCTAACCAGTAAGGTGCCACAAGAAGATGCTGCTATCATCATCATTACACCACCACCACCCTCCTCTAATGCTCTAGAGCAGTGTTGTCCAAACTTGGCCACTTTAAGATGAGTGGACTTCAACCCCCAGAATTCCCCAGCCAGCTAACCAGTAAGGTGCCACAAGAAGATGCTGCTATCATCATCATTACACCACCACCACCCTCCTCTAATGCTCTAGAGCAGTGTTGTCCAAACTTGGCCACTTTAAGATGAGTGGACTTCAACCCCCAGAATTCCCCAGCCAGCTAACCAGTAAGGTGCCACAAGAAGATGCTGCTATCATCATCATTACACCACCACCACCCTCCTCTAATGCTCTAGAGCAGTGTTGTCCAAACTTGGCCACTTTAAGATGAGTGGACTTCAACTCCCAGAATTCCCCAGCTTTTGGACAACACTGCTCTAGAGAATTAGAGGAGGGTGGTGGTGGTGGTGGTGTAATGATGATGATAGCAGCATCTTCTTGTGGCACCTTACTGGTTAGCCATTTGGGTACCAAAACAGACAAACAAAAAGGACTTCTGAATTTCATGATCCTCTGGGACTTGCTATTTAAATTTTTGCTTCCAGTTCCCCTCCCCTACCACTGACAGATGTGCCTGTGTAGAGGCCAAAAATACAAAATACCGGTGTTATAGTCAGGACCTCAACATCTCTGTGCTAAACTCCAATACACTGTAGATAAATACCTTTGATACAAACTGAACTTGATGCATTTTAAAGCTCCAGTAATTATTTTTCTTCATCTTGATCCCTTCCTCTGTTAAGGTTTAGTAAGTGGGTGTGTGTGCATACCAAGAAAGACTGGCAGCTTTTCAATCCATCTCTGTTTCCATGCTCTTAATAGCAAATTTTTTTGTTTTGTTTCTGGTGCCTTTCAATCTGTGTTGAGTCCTGGCAGCTGCCTGGACTAGTCTCTGCAGTTTTCTTGGCAAGATTTTCAGAAGTGGTTAGCCCTTGCCTCCTTCCTAGGGCTGAGAGAGAGTGACTGGCCCAAGGTCACCCAGCTGGGTTCATGCCTAAGGCAGGACCAGAACTCACGGTCCCCCAGTTTCTAGCCATCTACTGGTGCCTTAACCAGTAGGTCAAACTGGCTGCCTAACAGCCAATTAGCTTGTTGATTTTTTGCATATCAAGTTGCTACTGGACAAATTTGTAGTGGCCTCTTAGAAATCAGATAAATGTAATTCCTATTAACAATATACTTCATACTTTCTCTACAATTATTTTTTTCATCCTCTTTTCCTACAAGGAACCCAGTGTGGAAGTACGTGGTTCTCTCTCATTTTATTCTCAGAAGTTAGTGATGGAGGTTTGGCTTACCCTATTCATATTCATGGGTGACTGTGTTTTTGAATCTATAACTCTGCCCTCTGCCTGCTATACGGCATCCTATTTTGAATACAAGAATTATATCTGACTTGTCCTTGTTGTATTTATATGACATCTAGCCAAAAAAAGAGAGCTTTTCCTTGGATAATTATATCCCAGTCATCCCACAAGCATATCCATGATATTAGTTATTATAATCAGTGGGTGTGTTTATTTCATTCAAAGATCTTACGTGCTTTTTTGGTTCCTTTCTATTTACTTATTTATTTTTTGTTAAAACAAATGCACCAAGTACTGTAACTGCATTAATGAAGCAACGGATAAGAAACACAGCCCTATTTGAGCATCCTCTAAAACAGTGATTTCCCAATTTCTCCAGGGATCACTGGTAGTCTTCAAAGATACTGCATGATGTATGAGGTGGCACTAATATATGGAGCATGAATGTATACAAGGAGAAAACCTTAGCTGTATGTGTGAAGGTTTCTTCCCTTGAGAAGTTTGTGCTCAGTGCACAAAATCCAGGGAAGGAGTTATTCTCCCACTGTTTGAGATGGAGTTTCATGGCACAGTCCCAGTCTCTGCTCAAGTTACTCCCCAGTTGGAGTAATTAGATTAGTATCATTTAAAGGAGGATTACATCATTTTCCAACATGTGAGGAATGATGTGGCAACAACAGCAGTCATGCATCAGGTATACACATCTCTGAAAGGAGGAGGCGTGTAGAACTGAATGCATGAAGGCCTTCTCCCATCAAAATAAGGGTTTTAATTCACTGAAGCAAGTTACTATACTTCTAATCTTGACTGATTATTGGAAGCTCAGGAATGGGGAAGTGGGAAGCTGGAAATCAACCATATGGGTGTACTCCTGGTAGAAGCCTGCAAGGCTGCGAACAGTGAACTGTGTATAGAAATGTTTTTGGTGAACTGTGTATAGAAAATCCACTTGTATGGGTTGTAGGGACACCCTTTAGACTGAATCCTGCCTGAAGGGTGGAGTGCCTCAAGCATGGTGCCAGTAGACCAGCCAGGACACAATGCAATCCCAGAGCTGATTCTCCAAATCTCTGCAGACTCTCAGGCTGAATAAAGCATGATCTCTTTAAGGCATTGTCTGTCGGTCAAGGAAATCCAGGTTAATGGGCTTGTCTGGCACCAGCACAATACGGGCAAGAGGCTTCACTTCAGTGCACTGTGGGTCTGGTCTGATCAAGAACTTCTGGATAATCTGGAAACAACCCAGAGAAAAAATGCATGTTATTTCAGAGGCCTCCTGTCTGGTTCTACCTTGCCCCAAATCCATTCACATTACCGATATTTCTCGGTTTCAGACCTCCTACACCATAGCATTATTTTATGGCAAAATGGTTGCCAGTTGGCAGAGCCATGAGAGTGGAGAAGAAGAATGATCTCTGCCTCCTAAAGTCATTTCCACTGATCAATTCATAATTAAAATGGTAGCGTTCCCAAATGTCACTTCCTTTTCTTTTCACCATAAAGGTATATTGACTTCTTCTGGCTTTTACTTTACTTCTTGGAGTGAGGAAGCCAGTAATCACTGCAGCTCTTTCTTTCTGTTCCTCCTGCCCACTGAATTTAAATCTGTACGAAGAGTAATGGGCTAAGAAAGAGAGAATGATCAATCCCATGAAGACCGTGAAGTCACAGGGATATCAAATACCGTATACGCTTGAAGGATTAGATACTTCTTATCCACCCTACCGTCTATCTTCCGGGAGACCCGTAGCTTCATCCATTGCTAAGGAATGTATATTTCCTGTATGTTAAGAGCCACCAGAAATAGGTGGGGGAACTCCACTGATTTCCCTGTGGACAGAGATCAAACTTGGATACCAGATCTCCTGGTTAAGGAAACGCGGAATTGGAATTTCACTTTGCAGCTAAGAGATCACAGATCATGCAGAGACTGGCATATGCACACTCATGCACAGAAACTACTTACCCTGGCAAGAGCCAGATGCATTTCAAGTTCAGCAATGCGACGCCCCACACAGGCACGTACTCCATAACCAAAGGGAATGGAACTGAAGGGGTGATGAGGCATCTCTCTCTGGTCCCGCAGCCAGCGGCGTGGCAGGAAGCAGTCTGGCTCTGGAAAGTTGGCCTCATCATGGGAGATGGCATAGTGGGCCAGGACAAAGAGGGTCTAAGCCCAATGGAAAACCCAGAAAGTTAGAAAAAGGACTTTTGAGCAGAAAGAAAAGAATTTTTTTTCTTTTATCTTTTCTTTCTGCACCATTGTCTTTTTCCTTTTCTCTCTTTCTTTCTTGTTTTCTTTATTCTGTAGTAATTTGTGTTTTTATTTTCTCTGTAAAACTTTTAATAACATTTATAAAAAAAGAAAGAAAAAGGACTTCTGAGCAAGCCAACAGAGATATTGGTCTTCAACAAGGTACTTCCTCAGGCAGACCTGTGATGGTGGTAACAAACCTGGGCAGAATCTACACTGGGATCCCTTCCATGTGAGAGGTAATAGGATACTGGCATTTTTGCAAAATGTAAATGCTCTCAGTAGACAAAGAACAAGCTCTATGGTATATGTGCATCAGGAACAGCGTGTGTGTCTTCAGCAACTGGTAGTCCTGGCCAGTCGTGAATCCCTCCCTCCCTCCCTCCCTCCTACAGTCAGACTGCATAGCTTGTTTTACATCCCATAGATAAAATTATCTTATAAATAAAATGAATTTAAATTGCTTTCCAATTTAATCCTTGATCCTTATATATTCCAACCTGTCCATTATCCTAGACTTTGTCTAGCTCTGCCTAGCATGGACTGATAACCCAGTGATAACTTTATATTTCACGTTGTTCTTGGTTACTGAGCCCAGTTCACTAAGAGATGTCCTGGTCACAAGATCAATAATACATCTGTACTTACATCCTTTGGGAACTTGTATCCTTGAATGACAACCTCCTTCTCTGCGATAATTCGTGCATTGGTGGGGACCACAGGATAAAGCCTATAAAAGGGGAAGTGGCAGGTCAGTGGGCAACATAGGACAGCAGGAAGAGGCTCCAACAACCTAGGCCTTTTCCACAGGAGAGCTGGCTCTATCCCAAAACCGTCAGCGGCATTGTTGTGCTATTGTATGGCTCTCTGTGTTGTCTTACTCCTTTGAGGTAGCCAAAGTTCTTCCTGCTGGCTGCCGGGGAGTCACAAAAAATGGTCTGCCCTTTCTTGTCCTTCTCTTCCTGTGTGTGTTTTGTGGCAAGAAAAGAAGGTTAAAAAACCAACCAGAGCAGTCAAAAGCAAGAACGAAATGTTAGCTAAGGGCCATAGCACTTCTGCTTTGGGACAGAAGGGGAAACTCCAGGAGCTGGGGGTTCACTTTCTGCTGATGAGGAACCATCTGGCAGAATGTAGAACAGCCTTTGCAGTATTTTCCCTGGAGCAGGAGCAGAGTTAATTAACTTCTGATGTTAATTGGATAAACATGCAAAGCCTTTTAGAAACTCTAAGGCACAGGTGAGAACCAATTTGGTGTTGGGGTTCAGGAACCAGGCTAGAAACCGGGAGACAGTGAGTTTAGTCCTGCCTTAGGCACAAAGCCAGCTGGGTGACCTTGGGCCAGTCACACACACTCAGCCCTAGGAAACAGGCAAGGGCAAACCACTTCTGAAAAACTTTGCCAAGAAAATTGCAGTGACTAGTCCAGGCAATTGCCAGAAGTCAGCACTGACTCAAAGGCACACAAATAAGGGGGAGAAAAGATGGCCCAGGCCAAAACCACTTTTTTAAAGAATGCCAGATGCTAAGATAGAATTGCAAAAAGGTGATTATAGTGCAATGTTTCTCAACCTTGGCCACTTTAAGATGTGTGGACTTCAACTCCCAGGATTCCCCAGCTAGCACGACTGACTAGGGAATTCTGGGAGTTGAAGTCCATCTTAAAGTTGCCAAGGTTGAGAAACACTGTTATAGTGTGTTGATTTTTTTAACTGGCAGAAAAGTCCTGACCTAGCTAGAACTCAGGGCAATCTCCTTTCAGACCTGTGTAGTCACCAGGAGTCAAGACTACCTTAATGGCATGTGCATGCGCACACACACAAAAGGCACAGAAGGGCCCACAGAAGTACACATGAAAATTGGGGAAAATACGGTACTGTACTAGTTTCCTGGGGGCTGACAAGTATTCTGTTTGTGCTTCACAGCTTCCTGAACATATCAGGTAGGCCGTTGTCTGACCCAGCATTTTGCATCAGCAGGACTTCCAGCCTGTTCTTATATTCTTATGAAGAGTTTCTTAAAACCCTGGGCGAAGTGACCAGGGTGCAAAGCAGCAGGAGCAGCAGGTACTCTGTTCTTGGTCTGAGGTTTAAGACTGCATTCTGCTCCTTTGGCCAGCGACAGAGAGGCTCTTACCTGAGAGTCTCCTTGACTATCGCCTTAAGCAGTGGCATCTTGGTGATGTCCTTGGCTCCAGGGATTTGGTCTTTGGGTATTACATTGGCTACCTCCTGGTATAAGGCTTCCTGGATGTCTGGGTTTCTAGCCAGATGGTACAGAGTCCAAGACAGAGTATTGGATGTCTGAGAAGACCAAGCAAGAGGGTGAAAATTGTGGGCATCTGCCCATGGAGGGGGAATGACACAGATGTGTGATGACATCATCGCACAAATGCTGTGACTTATGTACTCGTGTCAGACACAGGGAGGCAAGTGCCTAAAGACACTTGTGTGATGATTTCACTGCGTGTGTGTCATTACTGCAGGTTCTTTCAAGCGCGTTGCTTGTGAAAAGGGTCCCTCTGGGTAGCAATCCCCAGAGAGGATCCTGGGACAGATGTAGGTTCTCAGAGACCTGCTACAGGGATTAGCTTGTCAGAGGCAAATTTCTCTCCCAATGTTGTATGACAGATAAAACATAGCTGTTTGCTATATTTAAACATTTCTTGGGATTAGAAATATATCTGCTCTCTACCCCCCCTTTTTTTTTTTTTGCAATCAGCCTATCTGTTCCTGTTCACCTTAGAACTGTATCCCAACATGAAAGTGATTAGATCTGCTTAGAAATCTGCCACAGATGCTTGCCTGTTTATGATGGCTGCATTTGTGGAAGCTCCCCTCACAATTCAGGCTTAAACCTAGGCCCGAACCTTTAGTTTAGAAGAAGCACGGGATGCAAATGTAGTAAATAAATGAAAATGCTATACAAGACATTCAACACTGAGACTGGTAATAGATTTTGCAGATATTCACTCATGCTGAAAAGGAAAATAAAAAAAACTTCATTATTTTTATAGCAATATACTACTACTAATACAGCCTAAAATTAAATACACACTCTTTGAACTTGTAACTCCATTGTAAAGCCTTCACTAATGCACAGATTAACTTTGTAGTCCATTATTAGACAAAATTATATATACTTTACTCTTTTTTTCTACTACCTTGCTCAATAGCTATTGGTATCCTTTCAAAATACAAATCCCATGTTTTATTAGTTACTTAAGTAAGACACCATATTTATGTGTAAAGACTATTAGTGGTGAAGATTATATGGCACAGGTGTTATAAAAAGAGCACCGGTAAAGAAAATGGCTTTGAACAAGTAAAAAGAAAGCTGGAATGTTGGCCTTAGGTCCCGAGTTAGTCAGAAAAATCCTACTGATTTCTAAGTGAGACAATCTAAATTCAAATCCAACTTGGTCTGCACAATACATTAGATTAGGCTAAAATTGGATTGGGTAGAAGAGTATATAAATTTATATATATACTCTTTATATTTATATAAAGAGTCTTCATAAATTTACTGTTATATGTAAACTATGACTAAATGTTGAGATACATTGTTCAGGGCTGTTATCTGGTATTCTTGTTTCTTCTTGCCTTACAAAATATTCAAAGTAAGATATAAAAAAAGCTTTAAAAATAGGATTGGGTGGACTGTGGTTCAGAATACTATAGAAATCCAGGCATTGCTTTAACATATTGTATGAACCAGCTTTTTTGTTGTTGTTGTTGTTAAGTGTTAGGTCTCCAAAGCAAGGCCCACAAGTGCCAGTGTACCTGTACATTATTTATTTGGATTCCTTTAATTTTTCAAAATTAAATCAAGCTGCAGACCAAAGTGCAAGCCTTAAGTATAATTTTAAGCTCAAGAATGTTTCTTGATCTGCCATTTTCTTAGAGGAAATTGTGATGGGGGGTGGGGTTTCAGTCCAGTGCTCTGTTTTGAAATGAGATTACCAGAAAAAAAAAAAGTAGAAATATGTTGAGCAGGTCAGATACATCTTAGGAGGCTACAGGGGCTGGTGGAGAGCAACCTTCTCAGGCTGTCTTCTGTGACCTACCTTTTTGGGGACTGAGCACACCTGTCACCGCTATTGTTTTGTGAGAGTACCCACAAGACTCTTTCAAAATTCCAAATATGCCCGCCGGCCCAAAAGGTTTGGGGACCAATATGTCCACCATCAGCCCCCAAAGATTGGGAAGTTATTAAAACCTAATTGTTTGGGGTCTAGCAAGTTAATCAATCATGGCTCATGGCAAATATGAACACTAAATAATGACTTGCAGTTTTATGTAAACCCAGCCCCTTGTGTTCAAAGTCAATAGTTCAGATTGCAGTTACCTGCTTATAGTATGATACAATGTAAATTGATATTTACATTGCTTTCTGTAAGCTATATTCCTGAGCCTTGTAGATATCCATCTATTTTATAGGAGTCATT